GTCGGAGCTCGACGATTGGGTCTACAAAGGGAACAAACTTCGAGTCGCCGAACTTCAACGCATCATTCGAGACCTTCGCAAGCGCAGTAGGTTCTCCCAAGCCCTTCAGGTCACTCAAATGCTCAATTCTAAATTATTATTCCTTATTCTTCAACCCTCATTTGCAAATATCAAACTCTGCTTTAGGGGTGCTAAACGAAATTTCAGTTCAGTTCAAATAGTTCGGTTCAATTCGAAATACTTCAGTTTTAAATTTGAGAAAATATTTCCCCAAACTGATAACACAGTTCATTTTTATTTGATAAATTCAGTTCAGTTCAACACTTTTACTTTGCTTGGTTTTAAATGGCTTGTTATTTGGTGCAGGTGTCTGAATGGATGTGCGAGAAGGGTGTGTGCATATTTTCTCCGACTGAACACGCGGTTCATTTGGATCTTATTGGCAAGGTTCATGGATTTCCTTCTGCAGAAAGCTACTTTAATGGCTTGAAGGATCAACATAAAACCGAAAAGACCTACGGTGCTCTTTTGAATTGCTATGTTCGGCAGCGCCAAACTGAGAAGGCTCTCTCCCATTTGCAGAGGATGAAGGAGTTAGGGTTTGCTTCTTCGCCTCTGACTTACAATGACATTATGTGTTTGTATACAAATATTGGACAGCATGAGAAGGTTCCTGATGTGCTGGCTGAGATGAAAGAAAACCAGGTCTTGCCGGACAACTTCAGCTACAGGATCTGTATAAATTCTTATGGTGTGAGGTCTGAGTTTGGTAGAATGGAGAGTGTGTTGAAAGAGATGGAGACTCGACCAGACATTGTAATGGACTGGAACACTTACTCTATCGTGGCCAATTTTTATATAAAAGGAGAACTTGCAAGTGAGGCTGTTTGTGCCCTGAAGAAAGCTGAGGAGAAGCTTGATAACAAGGATGGCCAGGGTTACAATCATCTTATCTCTCTTTATGCCCGTCTTGGACTGAAGAATGAGGTCATGAGAATATGGGATTTGGAGAAAAGTGCTTGCAAGAGGTGCATAAACAGGGATTTTACGACCATGTTGGAATCTCTGGTAAAACTTGGGGAGCTTGATGAAGCTGAGAATGTACTGAAGGAATGGGAATCCTCTGGAAATTGTTATGATTTTGGAATCCCAAGTATCGTGATCATTTGTTACTCACAAAAAGGTTTGCACGAGAAAGCTGAAGGCATGCTTGAGGAATTACAGAAGAATGAAAAGGTCACCACCCCAAATTGTTGGTCTGTAGTGGCAGGTGGATACATGAACAAGGGTGAGATGGAGAAAGCATTGAGGTGCTTTAAAACGGCCCTCTCTTTGTACGTGGAAGGTAAAGGATGGAAGCCTAACGCGAAGTTGATTGCAGAGCTATTGCGTTGGATTGGTGATAACGGCAGTATCGAAGATGCAGAAGTTTTTGTTAGCTTATTAAGAAATGCTGTTGTCCCACCAAACAGACAAATGTATCACACCCTAATCAAGACTTATATGCGAGGTGGTAGAGAAGTGGACGAGCTTTTGGATCGCATGGAAAAAGATGGCGTCGATGAAAATGAAGAAACTAAGAAAATCATTAACATGAAGAATGCATAAGTTTTGAAACTTAATTTCCCGACGATGTTGATAGAAGTGAATCAAGGGACAGGTTCATTTTTTCTTGGCATTGAGCCATATATACGAAACCCCTCAATTAAGTTCTTGAACATGGCAAGCGTTGTCACTTTGGTCCTACTAAGATCACTTATCAAAGGGACTGGGCGACTAGTGGGAAAGACGATTTATACATTTAGGAGTACTATGTTTATTTAGTTAACTCGACTGTCTTGCCCACATGGCAAGTTATGTGCCAATGCGAATTTGACCTTAAACAAGCATATTTGTACAAGTGAACAGGGATCAAATCAAAGTGACGTTACTCTGGACTAAAATTAAATAAATGAGTGTGCCTATGGCCATTTTCCATTTTTGTGAAGGAGAAATGTATAGCCATCTCTCTTCTCCCTTCATAATCGGTGATCCATCATGGGTCCTTAAGAAAAGATGTCTCTAGCCAAAAAGACCTTAAAAGTAAGCAAAGCCTGCCTATAAGATCTGCATAAAACACTCTGCATATAAACAGTTTTAAAAATTCAGTCAGTAGGAATTTGATACCCAACGTACACAACATAAGTGAGAGTTAGTGGTAACAAAAAATCATTCAAGCATTAAGCATTTAAAATTGTAATTATGCACAAAATGAAGCTTTATGCTGGTGGAAGAATTACTGATGTGATGTTGAAATCCACTTGTGAGTTTTAAATTTTGATGGCTAACGTGGACAAAGTGCTTCATATGATTTATACTGGACAAATATATACTGATCATTAGATGTATTGATTTAAAAACCGAATGGTCCCCATAAATTACGATAACCAATCCTGTGCCTTTTTTTTTCCCATTACCGAACCCGCATCTTCCTCTTTCATCACCTCTAATCAACCACAATGCTTTCATATAAAGCAAGTGCTAAAGTGCTAATAAAATAAGTAATTCAACTTCAAGTCCTCGTACATTCTTATTTGCTGTACAAGTCTGTACTTGTACCAATTCATACCGATACCAATCAATTGTTGAATCGCCAGTGGAAAGCATCAACCACCAGTGCTGTGTTTCGCCAAGCAAAGGAACTTATGACAGATGAAGGTCACAGACGCAATACAGCGGGAGATGCAAGGTGGCAGAGGTGTGACAAAAGTGCATTATACTATTTTGCTTTTAAAATTTATAATGACTTAAAAATATAAAATAAAATAAAATAAAATAAAAACATTAATGGTTTCAAATATTCAGTCAAAAACCAGCGGCTCACAGTTGAACCACTTCAGGAAGTGATATACCCCAAAACTCGCCATAAATTTTCTAACCTAATTTGCAACTGAAATTTACTATGACTTGCAACAGATATTTCTAACTTCATTTGCACAGCCGATATAAGAATCACAGAACTATTGCTTGATTTCTGAAAGAGTAGATAAATCGAAAGGGAGGAAAACTGATCTCACTCCAACTGATATTTCACTCGACACTTTTTCATATTAGCCCCAATGATGTACTTAATTTTCGTCACTGTCTAAAGTGATCAGACTTCAAATGTTGATCAGGATACAAGCCAGATTCTAACATCAGAAAAAACATGGTGAAAGGACCTATTTTTAATTTAATTACATACAGAAATTAAATTTGGCAGCACTAATCACATTTTGAGACTTAGTAATTGATTGACTCACAAATATATTGTATTATGGTATAGTAACATTACCGAACAGAACATTCATATCATCAAGTATCCAACAAGGAGACCAACAGTAACAATATCACTGCTGTAAGTAAACTAAAGTGAAACTGGAAAAAAAAAACCCACAAAACGAGATCAGTTTTGACTGAAGACTTTGGCGATCTTCTCAGTAGGCACCAAAGGGAGATAATTGGAAACCCTATATCCTTTCTCGGCGGAGGAAACAACGACCTCATTATACTTCTCAGTGCAGTAAGCGGCCTTAGGCAAAACGGCGTTGGTCACGTGAGGGAAGATCGGAAGCTGGTTAAGCCTCCGCCACGCAGACACGGCGCATTGCTCCGCCGTGGGCTCGTACTTAGAGTAAACGGTCTTGGCGAAGCCGGAGACGCCGTCACGGCGGACGTCGGAGACGACGGAGCGGGCCTGGGAGGAGACCTTCTTGACGTTGGAGGGAACGTGGCGGTCCAACTCGGCGACCTTGCGATCGGCGTATTTGAGGATCTCGACGGGGACGAGGTGGAAGCGGTCGTAGACCGGAGCCACGACGGTCTTCACAGCCTCTTCCACGGTGTCGACGCCGGGCTTGAGAGGACCGGCGCGCTCCTTGGCGTATGAGTAGAGGATGGCGCAGCGCATGAGAGCCTGAATGGTCGCGAATTGCACGAATTCAAGGTACTTGAGTTCTTGCTCTTCCTGAAAGTGATACCAAATTCAAATCCTAGATTAACAACACAGGCATAGTAGAATAGAATACTCTCATCATGGAAACTCAATCTAATTAAAAACCCTAAATAAACAACGCACGCATATTAAAAACTCTCGTCCTCGAAATTGAATCGAATAGTATGCAAAACCCTAAATAAATAGAGGAATATGGAAGAGGGAGCGAGCGTACCATTTGTTGGGGTTGGGGTTGTGTTTCTGTTTCAGCGGCCATGAAGAGAGAGAGGTTTAGGTTTTGGTATTGAGAGTTGGAGAGGGAGGTTTAGGTTTTTGTGGAAATTGGGAAAGGGGATTTGGGGAATTTATAGAAAGAAAATTGGTGTGATTGGGAACGACAAAACGCGTTTCTTCTTGATGGTTTTCTTCCCAGCGGGGCTCATCTCGTAAAGCCAAACGCTTTCTTCCACGTTAAGTTTCAACGCCGCAAATATTGTTTCAAAATCCGCTAAAATCTGGAATATTCTTCAAATCTTATTCGTCTATTTATTTAAATTCATCCCAAAAAATCACTATCAAATATGTTTTTTTATTCAAAAATATGAGAATTGATTTTCCAACACTAATTAATACGTACATGATCTTAACACATTAACTTCTTTTACAACCAAAACCAACAAAATAAACAATATAATATCTTTTTAGACATTTTATCCTTTATTTTGTTGATTTTCGTTGTAACAAAAGTTAAAACGGATTGTGAAAGAAAAAAGTAACTGTAAATTTATATTTATCTTATAAAAATATATTAAATAATAATTTATTATTTTATTAATTTAAATTAGATTGAATAACAATTAAGACAAAAATTTAAAATTAATTTATGTGTATTTATACCTATTATAAAATGGATATATTTTAAATCATTTTTTTATATTTATTTTTTAGTAGATCATTATACTTCTTGGATATAAAAAAAAATTTTTTTGTATATTTTTAATTTGTGTGTAACTTAACTATTAGAGACACGAAGTGTTTCAACCTCTCTAGTATAAATATAATGGTCTTTATATAATTAGAAAAAAAATGAATGGACTAATGATTTAAATAATAAATTTGTAATGGATTCTAATTTTTATAAAATTACTTTTATCATTTTTCTAAATATGTGACATGAAAATTGATTTTATTGTGTAATTTTTTTTATCAATTAAAATTATAATGACGATAATAAGGTTTAAATCTAAAATTTATATACTATCAATGATGGATCCAAAAAATTTAGCCAATGGAGACAATACTATAAATAAATTCGTAGCATTAAATATATTTTCTCATTTTTTATAAGTATATACCATAATTGTTGTTTATGAAATTTCATATTTTTAAAAATTAAACAATTTTCTTGTTTTCAACACTCTAAAAAATATCAGGATCCATTTAAATAACTAAACAACAATTTAATAGATATTTTTCATATTAAAACTTTAACCTTTCATTTTTTAAAATAGTATAATATGAACTTGGACCATCCATTATCTTTTTTAAGGTCAACTCCACAATGACAGAAATTTAAAAAAAAATTATACATGAAATAAAAGAGCTATATGTTAGACATTTTTACCAATATATGTAACTTTTCTTATTTATTTATTTACAAAATGTAATAGTAGATAGTTACACTTAAGGGTATTTGGTATACGATACATTTTTTCATGTTTGAGAATCATGATTCTTAAGATTTATGAAAATTTTATTTAATTGATCATAAATATTTATAATAATGTTTATAAATATTAACCGGTAATCAAAGATTTTTACTAAATTAAATAAGTAAATAAAGATAATATGATGTTTTCACCACATTAAAATTTATTTTTAATTACCTTGAAAAAGTTAGTTTTTCACCTTCTGATAGGAAAATTTTCATGAAAAATTTATGCAAAATCTTTTCCCGAAAAAATAATGTTTCTTAAGAATATTATTTATAAACAAGAAACTATCATTCTCAAAGTTAGATTCTGGGGAAAAAAATTATGCCAAATGTCCCCTTAATTTTTAACACAATAAGAAAGAATACATTATCATTATTATAATATATATATATATATTGTGTGTGGAGAAATCTATTTACTTTAGGAGTAAATTTACCTAAACTTATTTTGTTTAATAATTCATGTTTTACATTAAATTTTAATGATCTAATTATTAAATTTAAAGTTCTTAATATATAGATCAAGTCTACAATTTTGTTTCACTAATTCATATATGTGTGTGTATATATATATATGTGTGTGTGTGTGAAAATTGCTAACATACTCTCATCTTAATTTTAGATGGTAGCAACCTATACTAAAACTTTTGGACCAAAAAAACAATCAATCTTTTTTCTTTAATAAGCTTACTTTAAAGATATTATAGTAATTTATTATTTTTAAATAAGATAACTCATTTATCTCAAATTATTCACTCATTCTCTCTCTTCCTCCATTCATTTCTCTCTCTTCTCTCATTTTTCGGAGTGATTGTTCTTCTTCCATAAGACAATTAATCTATCACCATCGTCCACCTCTAACTATGATAAAAATCTTAAATTTGTAATTTTTTTTCAACTAGAACCACTTCTTTTGCAATCATTGCACTTATGTCACCATTATTCTCTTTAAATTAAATTTGATAGAAAATTTTGGGGTAGTCCAAATTCTAGACAATAATCCAACAATAATTACCCATCATAATCATTAAAAAATTAGAAGATAAAAGCGGTGTTTTAAAACCCGGACCGACCCGGCCGGTCGGACCGGTTGGACCGGGAACCGGTGGTCCAGCCGGTTCGAATCTGAAGTTGGATCGGTTATGCAGTCGACCCGTTTCAAACCGGATTGAACCGGTCAATTTTCCGGTTCAACCGGTGAACCGGTGGGTCAAACCGGTTCAACCACTTTTTTTTTTTATTTTTTTTTAAATTTTTTTAAGGGACCATAAATCACAAAAATAATAATGAAAATTGAATCTCTTAATGAAAAAGCAAGGAGTCTTATTAAATATAACAATGACTACTTGTTCTAATATATTTGTTTGCAATATATACAACTTAAATAACTTTTATAGTATATTATTAATTTTAAATTATATATTTAATAATTCAATATCTATGTAAATATTACATATATTATTTTGTGATATTAATTGCAAGCATATTATATATGTACATATTATTTATATTTTTAATTTGTATTAATATACCGTTTAACATGTAATTTTTTTATGTATTTTTTTACAAAATAAAAATAAAAATAATTTTAAATAAGATAGAAAAATTTAAATTTAAAATAAGATATGAATTTATTAAAATTTATAAGTATAAATATATTTAATATGAATATTTTTTAATAAAAATAAATAAAAATCGAGTCATGCGGTTCAACCAGTGATCCACCGGTTCAACCTTTGACCCACTGACCCAATACCTTAACCGATTCGATGACCGGTCCGATTTTTAAAATTATGGATAAAAGTATTAGAGAATGATTTAATAAGTAAGAGAAATTAATTTCTTATTGTTCATTGATCATCAACACGAAACTCATGTTTACTTGAATGGTGTATGTTAGTTTTTCTCATTTTTTTTCCATGAAGATTGTTTCTTTTAGATGGTAATGTAGTGTTTAGTCACTCTTAAAATTATATACTAGAAACATATTGAATGTTTGAAAAAAAAATTGAAAAATTAATGTTTATTGCCTAAGGAAAGAAAGTCTAAAAATTTGGATGAAATGAACCAAATGGAACCTAAGTGTGAGTGAAAGAGTGAGAAATAATGAGTTGATAGGAGAGAAAAATGAATAAGTAATGAAGAGGAGAGAGAATGAATGAAGAGGAAACATAAATGAGTTTTATTATTTTTAAGAAATAAATAATAAATTACTATATAAGAATTAATTAAGTAGGGTTAAATAAACTCCATATACCTTATATATAAGAATTTAAATTAAAAAAAAGTGGAAAGTGGATAATAACATGTAAAATAAACGTTAAAATTTATATTCAAATTAATAATAAAATATATAACAAAATAATCATGTGAAAAATTACAATATTTACAAGAATTTAAGTATAAAAAAAACAATGGAATGGTAATAATAATAGGTCAAAATAAATGTTAAAATTCAAATCGAAATACTCAATAAATAAAAGCAGTAAACAAAAAATATACTAGATTATTACAAATTATAACATTAATTATCTATCGATAAATTATCTAGGCCATACGTATTTTTTCTGAAGTAGAGGTTAGTAATTTGATTGTTTAATTATATTAATAGTATGATTGGTAAGATATGGTTAAGTTTATAGATTTTTTTAACCAATTTATTTATAGTTTAATCAAAATAAGTTTGTTCGATAAAAAATTTACAACTTATTTCATAAGTTAATTAAAGTAATTTATAAAGTTTTGAATATTTATTTTTATTAATTTATTTAAAATTATTTTTATCCATTTTAATTTAATAATTAATTTATCAATATGTTATTGTGTTATTCTCATTATCAAATAAATAAATATATCATTTTTTTTATTAATCAACTAGTTTAATAATTAGTCATACTAAATAATTTCAATTTAATTAATTAAAATTTTTAAATTTTCAACTCATAACTTATAAGTTTCGGACGATTTATAAACTAATTTATTAAACACACGTCTTAAAAACTTGCCAACAACCCAATGATAATCAAGGGGAAGATAAAACTTACATATACTACCATGCGTATTGTTTAAGTTGTTTTTTTAATTAAAATTAAAATTTTATTTTGACAATATCTATACTAATATACTTGTACTAATAAATAAAGAAAATATTTATTTCTATAACTATTTTTCGTCTCTATAATTGTGGATGATTATACTCTTTATTTTTTTAAAAAAATATTTTTGAAAATTACATTAACTAATCCTAAATAACCACTCACACTATTATATGTCTTTTTTTATTTATTTTACCTTTAAAAATATTTAAAGGAAAATAAAATTTACCGTAATTTCTAACATGAGAACAAATTCAACTCCCAACAATACATTATTAGAGTTTTATCCCTGCGATGATAGTGATATCCATTACAATTAAATCTATTACGATATTTCCACCAAACAATATGATATCACGCTATCAGCATTCTAAGTTATATATTCACTTTACTACATTGTTTAAGATTTTGAAGAGAAAAGTAAGTGGAAAAAAACAAAGGTATAGAAATTTATTTTCTGACTGTTTGAATAAGGAAAGAAGTGAACTAAGAGAGAATAAAATTGGTTGAAACTATGTCAAAAAAGAATTCTCCTTAAAAGTGATGAGTTTTGTAGAATAAAAGGTGTAAAAATTGTAAAGAACCGATTAAATTAAACGAAAATGATGAATTTATTATTTTTAATTTGAATTGTGTAAAAATATTAATAGGGATAAACAAATCTTTTAAACATGCACATTTTCTTTTTTTCTTACCTCTTTCTCAGTCTAAACAACTTAAAATTTACTTATTTGACTTCTATTTTATATTTTTCTTCTCCAAAATATTTTTTATTACCTAAACAAAGTACAAGTCTTTTTCGTGTTTAATGAGTCATTAGTTGAGCATAATAATATTTCTGCAGGTAAATCATCATTTCATCCACCGTGATCAACTACTGCTGTAAATTTGCCGACTTTGGGAAGGTTCGGATATATTCTTTCGATCTTGTGTCGGAGCTCAAAGTATGCATGAGTTTCTAGTAAACAATATATGCTAAAAAAATAAGTTTTAATGAAAACTAGATAAAAAAAAAATTACAATAAGATGAGATATTATCTGAATATGAAATGAAATATATTGATTTCAAACTTGCAAAATATTTGATGCATTTATTTATTTGATAAGGTATCCAATTCATATTGTATTAAATTGAATTAAATTTGATCGAGTTTAAATTTATAACGAAACTCATTAAATGATGAAATAAGAAAATTAATAACAATAAATTGCACCACTTTTTTCTTAAAAATATTTAATCCAACCTCATTTCAATCACAATACAATTACAACATTATTTAAAGCAAAAATAAAAAATAAAAGTGAGGCCAGAAAGGAGAGAAACATACTACGGGTAAAACTACTCAAACAAAATAATATTGGACTGTGAAACTAGCTTATTTAATGATTTAGGTCCCCATATTTCAAAATAATATTAAAAAAATTTGATCAAAACTATGACAAAAAAACCAAAACACCTCCACAAATCACGAGACTAATGCCAGTTTTGCCAACAATCAATCAATTGCACATTGGACAGTTCATTTGGTTAACTAACTGGAGCATTCTATGACTTGACAAAACTCAATCGTTTAGGCTCTATGTTTGCCAAGTTGATCAATATTGTACCCGCAGATTCTCCTTCAACCCATGTTATAGATTCCTGCTCTAATAGTTTTAATACCTGTTGTCGTCTGCGAGATCCTTTACTGTTATCTTTATCATTTACATCAACGATGACCTTGAGGTACTCGAATGCTGATGGGAAGAAGGAAATATTGAAATTACCATATAAACAGGCATGAAAATTTGAAAAGTAAATAAAGTATATGCATGTACTGACAATGTAAACAATTTTTACATCATCATCCAATAACAAATCACCATATAAAATACATCAGATTTCAGAATAACACACATTAATAATCATACCAATGATAAGTTATACTCTTCAGCAGTACAATGCCTTAACTTACTTGGAATGCCAGAAAAAGAAGAAAGATGACATTTCAATAGACGTATAGCCTCCTTTGAACCATGGTCACGCAAGTCAAGCACCATTTCTTCTTCTGCAGTTCTGCCAACAAATATAACATGATAAATATTGTATTACCTAACATACAAAATTTCCATACAGACCTCCTTAACAAAATAGAAAAAAGGAAATGAAGCGATGCAAATTGAAGAGCAGAGGAGATTAACCTGCTTTCAAGAATCATTTTGTTAGATTCTTCGTCAGCATCCTGAGCTTTTTTGTGGAAAAAATGGCCCTGCCATTACCAAAGCATGCAAAAGTGAATGATAAAATTTGAGTAACTTGGGTAATAAATTATAACTAAACGTGTCTAGTTAAGGCTTCCATTATCATTAACAAATAAAACAATTGGAAGCTGCCGATATTGTTAAAATAAACCAAATATAATATTTTTTTTTCATTTCAAATAGTATCTTCTGAAAAATGGCAACTAATCGTAGAAACTCAAAGGAGCATCCTTTATTATACAGTATCAGAAGAAGACAAAATCTGAATGCAAGAAGCCGCACTGCGCACAACACAATAATAAATATACCAATGAAACAAATATTTAGAAGTCATGAAAAAAGTCTACATTAATCATATATAAAGAAACTTATTGCTAGCACAATTCTATCAAAACCTTACCTGTTCTAGAAGTTTTTCTGCTTTGTTCTGATCTCCCTTTGCAAATGCATCAACTGCCTGAAGTGACAAGAGACCATTAAGTCTTTATAGTGTCCATGGCAGAGACCCCGCAACAAGTTATTCTACCTAGAAACTATCTAGTGATCAAATGTGGCACAAAATATAAGCCTAACAATGAAACATACTGCTTGATAATATTCATTCATTGCCACTCGGTACTCCTTCACAGCTCTACGCGCATTCTGATAATCTTCCTCGTCTTCTGGATCTGCCATACACAGCACTCAATCTTCATATGAAGTAAAACTCAACTTCAAAATAAAGATAAAATAAGATATCTATCTATATATTATTTAACAAGAATAAGAAAAAAAATGGTCAATGGATTTTCTTCAAGAAATGTATCACCAATTCTTCTAAAATTCTAATACTTGGACTACAGTGAGAGAAGCATACGAATAAACTAATTACAATGCAATAATCCTCTGGCTTAGGAAACACACGCAAGTTATAGTAACATCATATAGACACAAAGCTCAATAAATGAACTTTAAACAATAAAAAAATTGGAATCCAATTTTCCAAAATAACATGAAATACCATCTATATTTTCTAGTCGTGATAAGTCCATCAAGTCGATGTCAATCTTGAATTCTTCTGGGGATTCTTTGGGAGGTTCAAAAACCACATGCCCATGCTGTGATTTCTTACTCAAATCCTTCACAATTCTTTTAGGAGCCTCCTCAGAATGCCCTTGATAATTAAACAAACTAGACAATACTTCTTTCTGAAGGTCATGTTTTTGTTTCTGTTGCGGATGTAATTCGGTACCTCTAATTGAAGCTATGTTTCCATCACTGTATTACAAAGAAAATCTAAATTACAACCCAAAATATCCTAAAGTTGATTATGCCATTAGAGCATAACTTTAACTGAAACAAAAGATAAAGTAGAAGTCTCTGATCTTCAAAGGTAAATACGATGATGAAAAAAGCAGTAGATATTAACAAACAAAAATGAAGAAACAAAATATATATACCCTCTGGGATAATTTAAATCCTGAGACTTTCTTTCAGATAAAGGTGCTTCGGATTTTGGTTTCATATCTGTAAACTGTTGAAGTACAGTTAGCTTGAACAGCAATCAAGAATCTAGATGACCATCAAAATTTTAATGTAGACAGATATAATTTTCTGAAAAGGTAAAAGTCAAGCTAGGAGAATACAAAACCATCACCCAAAAAGCAGAACAGGAAGCCAAAAGCTACTTCTATTCTTTGATAATAATCTAGTGAAAGGATAAAACAACCTTATAATACACATAGCAAAAGCACAATGAAAGAATTGTCAGAAAAAAAAGGAGCACAAACATTTTTTTCACAAAACATTCGACACTCCTTTCAAACAATTTGGCTACAAAAATAATTCATGTATATCATTAAAATTCATTCAAGACTCAAGAGGAAGGCCGGCATGTCGCAAACAACTTTGACAACAAGAGGTAAGTACGTATTAGGTAACCCTCCTTTGTCCTGAGGTGAATTTAATCCCAAACGCTTGCACATTTTGCGGAGGAATTTCAAAATTTATGAATTGTAATAATATCTACAACTAATCATAATGAAAGTAGCATAAGTAATCCAAGCATAGATTCAACCATAAATAATATCAGCAATCATACTTACCCTCCCAGCTGAATCACCAACAACAGCTGTTCTTTTGCCCGAAGTAATATTTGATCGATCTAGTAATTTCTGCAAGCTCTGGATGATTGCAATAAATATTTATTAGGCAGAGGTAACAAGTGTTATTTCTAAATGCACAACAGTGATGCCAAGAAAATTATAAATGATACTAGAACAGACAAAATCTGGGTAGTCTGAATAGAAAAACCATGATTATTAATAATCTCCATGTCGTTTTACTGGATAGAGCAGAAAAAATAAATAAATGAGTGATATCCTTGTCAGCTTTACATTGTCTACACCATACATGAAATTATGGATACGATTTTTATTTTTTTTGTATATTCTGACATGAACCCTGAAAAAGTGGGAAAAGAAAGAAATAAATATCAACAGTGGCAGCATAAGAAGAATGTTTTTGTACCTTCTGCATATCATACCCACAAGTATCTGCATGTTTGCAATAAAATCAGTCAGCTGTTAATACAAACTAAAGAAATAATGGTAATAATAATATAGTTCAAATTTGAGTGTGAAATCAATTGAGCCAAGTGCAGGTAGAGAGTATCCAAGACTTGTGTCAGATCAACCTATAAACTATTTTATTTTCTAGACATGTCATAGTTAAATACCGGACAATGCTAAACTATTAAAACATATACATATATGCAAGCCCATCATAATAACTGCCTAATAATATAAAGAAATGTGCTATTAAAAAATTTGCCTTTTTTTACAGCAATAATTGGCTTTTTTCAAGTGGTGTAAAGTCAATAATCCACTATACCATGCACTGGATAGCAGACAAAATAGTGCAAGTCACATAGCAGTTGAAAATTGAAATATATGATAAAATATGAATTATATTGCATAAAAAATTAGGTTGTATGCAAATAAAATATAAATGCATAAAAATGGACATAATATTAACTCAAAAGTTCAATTAGCCAGAGACTTGCTGGAGATGACAACAGGAAATTCACCCACTCTTATCAACCAACTGAACTAAACCCCTTGACGCATGCCACAACCACAGCAGAAGTAGTAGTGGACAGTCACAATCACGAATCCAAGGAACTACGCAATAGCACTGCTATAGTGGCTATTTAACAACACTACAGTTGTTAGGAACAATTCGAGTTTTCTACAATAATGAAATGATAAAAAGAACAGATGACACAACATAAAATGCAATATAAATACAATATTAATAAGGAGGTCGTAAATCTAAAATACATCAAGAAAATTTCAACAGACAAGAAAATAAAGTGATAATTTGTTTCAAAACATTAAAAAAAGAAAAAAAATTGAAAATTTCCATACCAAGAACCTGCCGAATCATATTTCTGTCAAGCTGAAAGCCATCCCCAAGCATTTTAAATAAGAAATCTTCCATGTCCTGGTGAAGCAAATCATGCTTGGAACTCGATACATCCGGCTTGCCCTTTTCACGCCAGATTCCGGTCATGGGCAGCGACCTTGCATCCAACTTGGCTGGTTTGGTCACACCAACAGACCCATTTGCAGATGGGGCAGGTCTAGCATACCCCTTGCCAATAAGGCCAGAAACACTACCTGCAGAAACGGGGCGAACTTTGGACCTCAAGGTTTTCCTCTCTTGTAAAGAATTCTCTAGGGAACAATATCCGCTTGATGATCCAGAGGACCCTTCAGCACTAACATCTGCATTAGATGGATCAAGGGTTGCAGATGCTGCTGAGGAGCTCCCCTGCATTCCATACAAAATCTCCCCAGCTAAGTCCGCATTCCT